ACGCCATGTTCTTCCAGGCCGGCTGCCACTGCTAGCCCCGACGGGCCGGCGCCAACAATGACAGGACCATTAACCCACACACACCGGCGAGAAAAGCAATCATTATCTGAAAAACTAGGCATTTTTTCTTCTATATACTAATGTGTATATAATATCTGTTAATGATTGAAAGAATTTGGTTCAAAACTGAGAGAAATCTTTAAGAGAGAAGACAGATGAATTGGTTTGAAAAGTAAGGAGGAAATGGAAGCCTTAAATAGAAGAGCTGGCTGGAGTTGCATGTGATGGTCCACTCTCTAATCATAAGCATGAAGTCCACTTTCTATTATTTTGTGAGGTAATTAATTTCATTCACTATTATATTATAAAAAGATCTTCATTAATTATAGAGCTTTGATTTAAAAATGAAACAGGTTATTTTGATCAATTTACCTTATCTCGTTGTTTATAATTGTGATCATGAGTTCGAAAATTGATACCTCCATCTGCCTAAAAATAAGAGAAATGGGATTAATTTTATTTTTCTAACTTCTGGAATTATCACCATTTATTTCATAAGCATATTTGGTAAGTGATTCTAATTAATCAAATTTGATCAAATATACTTTTTTGTTGACGTAGAAACCCGCAGCCACTACCAGCCGCGGAGGCCCGACACCTCGAAGGGGCGGAGATCCGACCACTGTGAGTGCGCACTAAGTAAACCCCGCTTCATGTGCAATAGTCCGCAAACCACAAAGAAGAGGTAAACCGCACTAGACAAGCCCGGTGCGACGGACTCGACCGAGGAAGTATTGGCAGAAGATTTGAACTCGTGACCTTTGGTCTCCACGTTCACCTGCTCTACCAACTCGGCCACCCCCCGAAGGGGTGATCAAATATACTTTTTATCTATCCATTTAGTAAAACTTACTACTATTTACTTATTATTCGAACATTCTATAGGATCTATAACTTATAATCACTTAAAATTGATTTTTCTATCGAATGAAAAAGGCATGTGTAATAGAATTATAACCATAGGAATCAAATTGATTATTTAAATATTACTCATGCTAAAACACAATCAAAATTATGTTATCGTGTATGTTGCAGGAAACCATCCTTCGTTGTGCAGGCTATCAACACATCGTGGCATAAATTCATTGGATTGATACTTGTAATTTCATTTAGGATCCGTTTGATGGCAAATGTGGAAAGGAATTTCAATTCTATGTTAGTTGGAAAATAAAAACGACCCAAACCCATAGAAATTCGTTTTCACGTTGGTAAAGAATTACAACTTAAACTTTAAGAAATTCCCAATGTATT